AACTTAATACCACCACCTTGAACACTAGGTCAACATATGATTGTGGGTGCAAACATGCAGACCATAGCACAGAGTCAGTCATTCCCAAGTTTAACAAAAAACTTCTAAGGACATGTAGACCCCTCATTTTATAGCTGAGGTCACTGAGAGAGAGCATGCCTTCCCCAAAGTCGGCCATTGATATATCATATCGGTGGCAAAGTAGGGATGAGAAATGAGACACCCTGAATCCTGCACCCTATTTCTCTTGTCCTGCTTTTTCTCTCAACAGAGCATCAATCTATTGTCACAAAAACCTTTTTTAAAAATGTTTTTAAGAGAATAGTTGCAAAATACAGGGAATTGTAATTTTTAAAAATAAAGGAAAGCAGTACAATTTGAACCTTTTCCCATTGCCAAGAGAAAGAGTGAACTTTCTGTAAGGTAAAAGTTTGATAGCCTCAAGGGGGATGGGATAAAATGCAAGTAGAAAAGTCATTTGCTCTTTGAAAACAAGGGTGAGCTGCACTGAAGTTTTCACTCTCTGCCATAGCCGGTTTGTGTGTAATTCCAGGCCCTTGCCACATGCCTTCCGTCCATGTTTGCTGTTCTGATTCGAGCTGATTCTGCTGTACAGAGGATCTCTCTGGCACACAGTAGTTACAGGGAAGAGAGATTATTTCAGGTGTGTTTTAACAGTTGATATTGATTGATCTCAGCTTATTTCTCTTGCTGTTTTTTTGTTTTGTTTGTTTGTTTTTTATCAATTTCATTTAAAAATTGTAAGAACTGTCTGGCTGGTGTGGCTCAGTAGTTGAGCATTGACCCATGCACCAAGAGGTCGCCAGTTTGATTCCTGGTCAGGACACATGCCCAGGTTGTGAGCCGATCCCCAGTGGGGGGCATGACAATCGATGTTCTCTCTCATTGATATTTCTATCTCTCCCTCTCCCTTCCTCTCTCTCTATAAAAAAATCAATAAAGAAAAAAAAAAAAAAGAACTGAATATATTTGAAAGAAAAACATTGTAAGAACTTCAACCAGTTTATGTACAAAAGCCGCCTCTAGACAATTTAAGTCTTTGATGATTTTCTCTCGTAGTACTAAAGCGCAAAGGCACTTAGACTTGGTCTATTATGTTAGGAAGCCTTTAACAGTATAAGTATTGAAAGTCTCTTAGTTCCCATCATGTTTATATGGCTTTAAAGCAACTGTCTCATGTAAGGGGAGTTCTAAGAGGCTGGGTTCTTTTGGACAGAAAGAATAGCTTGGTGTTGCAGATTATTGCTGAGTCATTGTTACAGTTCAGGTCTGTAGTGTGAGCAAGGACCGTGGTGGTAAGTTCTTCAATATATTTCCAGGCAGGAAGATAATGAATGCTTCTTCAGTCTAAGCTAGGGCATTTTGCAGTATCTTTATCATGCAAGTATGACCGCCTTCAAGTTCAGTCACTGCCATGTGTGACGGTGACCACGCCACCTCTTTTTAACTGCTACTCAAGTATCTGACTCAGGTGGCAATGTTCTCCTAGAAACTTGCATGGCCTGGTTTATATGTTCCTTTCCTCTGAATTCAGCCATGCAGAGCAGGGGAACTCATGGTTCTGATTCATAGAAATTACTATTTTGTTATTGCATTCAAATAATGGTCTGCTAACAACCTTGTGAAAGAAAAAGGTTCACTTTCATACTATCAAGGTCATTACTGAACTCATCTCCTTCCGTTTAAAAGCACAGAGATGCCATCTAGCAGCCACCCTCAGGAATTTCCTGCACGGAATGGTCCTTTCTCTCTAAAACTGAGCGGTAATTGAATTCCGACAAGCTTTCAGTTTTTAAAAAACTTATGGAATGAATAATGATTTGGCATATTGCCTATATTTCAGACACTCTATTACAAGTACAATTAATTAATATCTCTTAAAATAGGCAAAGTGCTATACCCATGAGTTCTAAATGGAACTGGAAACTCGTTAATAAGATTTTAATTAATAAAAAACATAATTCTCATAATTTTCCTGAGAGAAAATTGATAATATGTCTATATAAAAATACAAATAATTAGTTCATGGTGAATTGCCTTCCTTTGTCAAAAGAAAATACTGATCTTGCTAATTTTCTGATGTATTAAATGAGAGCAAAGAAAGTCATAAGTATGTGCTGAAAGTAAGTTCATCCTATCAATATAGAAGTTTGGGCTTTTTTTTTTTTTTTTTTTTTTTTTTTTACAATTTAAAGATAGCATTGAGTTTCAAGTAACTCATTTTGCCATAAGATGGTGAGACTTAAGCACTTTATAAAATGTCATATACGACCTGTAAGTTTCAATCTCAGGAAAAATGATTATAAACATAAACATAATATAATGTCCTACAAAATGAGTTGGTACTATTGTTAGAAAGCCTTTTTGTTTCCAGGTAAATTAATGTACAACATACACTCTCTAAGATAATATTGCCAATATTTGGTATATGTGGGCAATATTATACCTAAAAATAAATCTATTCAATTTTAAGAAGTCTCCTGTTTTGCCAGTGTATCCATATGTGATTATACATATACATTAAATAAATAAATTAATTTTAAAGTGTTACTATGAAATCTATCAGTCCTAATATTTAGTATTAATAAACCAGCTTGTTTAAAATTACTGTACATTCAAGTGTCATCACTTAATTATTACTTATTTGTCCCAGAACTGTGGTCTTATGTGGTATTATTCATTTCAATTTTATTAAACATAATTTGCATTATGAACGCTAACTACTTAAGTAAACCCTTAAGAAGTTAGCACAATAATAAATAAGATTTGAGAATATTTCTAGTTTATAACCTGACTGACAATTAACTTGAGAATTAAATGGTGTCATTTGTGATTGGGATGTGGGGTGATGGAGTTTGGTGATCAAAAATAGTTTGATAAAATATACAAAAGTAGATTTTATTCACTTTTTAAGCAGTAGTTTTCTCTTCTGGTCCAAAAACGTTGTACAACATTAAAATCATTTGTTATGAACATTTGAATATTCTCTGTAATGTCATATGTGGCAGAGAAGAAATGACCGTCTTCTCTTCTTTGCACACTGTGTGGCAGTATCTAGAAGCTGAAAAAGGACAGTTTGAAAAGTTAATGTGTGTGCCTTTCTCCCCTGAATTTCTCACGTAGTTGTACCAAACAGCCACAGTTAAATCTAACAAAAGGTTTATATTGTTGAATACGCAGAAATAAACTTATCCATACAAGAAAAGGTCGTATTGACTAAAAATGGGTCATTTATTTGGAGGATGTATCTCTCTATTTAACAGAAGCTCTTTTTTTTTTTTAATTTATATTATTTAATTTGGGAAAGAACAGAGTGCAAGAAGTAAAGATATTTATGCATTAAAGATATCAGAGAAATCACATATGAATTCATTTTTAAAAAATGACAAAACTCACTTTAAGTCAAGTGATTTTTTTCTGCAATAACTCAGTGATGAAGTTCGGTGTTAAGAGATGTTTTACCAAGAACATTTCAAATGATGTACATAATGGAATGTGTTTAAAAGTGTTAACCAACATGACATAGTGACGGGGCAGTGGAATGTGTCACTGCAGACCCAGAGGCAAGAAGAAAAATAAGACTTAGAAAATATAAAAATAAAATTAACACTTTTTATCTAGATGTACAATACTTTAAAGCTGTCTCAGTACGTAAAACATTCCACTAAGATCAGTAAGATGGAATGCACATTGAAGATTTCAGTGACAATATCAGCACAACCGCAGCTTTAAAATAAAATGATTTTATTCTCATCAGGTCATTCTAAACATGAAAAAGTGCACTGAAATAATTATGAGTATAAATGACATGACTCTAAGTTTTCACTATCTACGATAGTAGGCCTAGAAATATTGTCAACCACAGTATTAGATTATGCTTGGTTATATCTTAATTAGTTCTATTGAATTATGAAAAGATACTTAATTTCTCTCCACCGCAAAGAGGATGTAAAGCTTTAAATAAATAACTACAATATTCCAGACTACAGCTTTAAATGGTTTTGTAGCATGGCATCGTGTGTCCTGTTGTGTCAAATTGCTCTGGGCCAGTTAAATAAGTAATATAATTTTAAATATTGTAACTCTTAACTCTTTTTACCAGACATCTTATTTCTTCTTCTGGATAATTAAGATTTTCTTATGCTGAAGCTCTCAAATGATCTCATTTTATCATCAAGACTTTTGCTATACACCGCTGAAAATATTTCTCCTCCTTTTCCTGCCTTTTTATGAAAAGAGCTGAGTGTTCACATTAATTGCCAGAGCTGGATAATTTTCAGAGTTCAACAGCTATGAGACGCCTTGTCCTTCCTATGGCCCTCCTAGTTTGATAGGGTTCTCACTTCCTGTTTCTTATCACTGCTAATCAGAACTTCCTCAGTGCCCCTGATTTCCTTCATGAAAAGAAAGAAGCAGAGAAACACAAGCCCCTTTCACCAAGCGGCTCTGCCTCCCTGCCCTGCGCGTTACAAGCAGCATCGCCAATGTTTTTGGACACAAACCGCAGAACGTCTGCCATGGGAGCATTCCCGACCAGGATCCGCTGGAAAAAACCAAACCCGCTTTTCTGCTTTCAACAAAGAGATGGTGAACTGTCTCCTAATCCACGTTTACAAATTGCATTGTTTCCCTGCTAACTCCTTTGCATTATTCGAGCGACTTCAGAAGAGCACATTAAGAGCTTGGACACAGAAGGAGCCCCCGTACCCGAAGAGCCGCATTGCCCGCTGCCCCCACGCATCATATTCGCTCCTGGTCCCTCCCCCCTTCCAGGACTCTACCTTGAGGAGCTATTCCTCTGGTAGTTCACCTTGTTATCTGCCGAGCAGTGGGAATACGCCAGGCATCATAAGACAGCCAGGGCAGCTGTCTTTCGTGCCGTTTTGGGGGGTGGGGGTGGGGGTATATATTTGCATTTTTGGTCGGTTTGTTTCATATTGCACATTTATTTCCAAGAAGAGTTAAAATATTGCCCATACCTTGGAAGGATCTAATCCAGCAAGCAGAGACAGCAGCAGCAGATTGAGTAGATTGGACGTCGCCTGCATTCTGATCTGGGTTTGTGCCCCCTCTTTACTCTCTTTTGTGTAGCCACTCCAGTGTCACTGCAGAGACCTTCCCCTCCAGTTGCACTTTCTGCCTGCCAGTCAGAGCAGAGTGGAGACAGAGGCGGTGGCAGGAGCGGGGGCAGCAGCGGCGGCGGCGGCGGCAGCAGCAGCAGCAGCAGCAGCGGCAGCCGCCCTGGGGGGCGATCATTCCGCAGGCATCTCAGAGCTGGGAGTCCGCGAGCTCACAGCCGGGTGGGCTGCAGCGGGCGCTGACCGCGGTGCTGAAGCGCCTCCAACCTGCGCGCCCCAGTCCACCCTCGCTCCTTCTGCTATGTAGCCAGTGCACCTCAAAAGTTTTAACTCAAGAAAAAGATAAAGGGAGTGAGCGCCGAGAGAGGTGTGGAGACCTGGACAACGGATATGACATCACTACAGCTCCTGGGGGCTCGGGGGATATTTTGCGGGGGATTTGTTAACCAAACAAGGATCGACTCTCCAGCTCCAGTTCAGTCTTTGTTGGCAACTTGAGCTGTAGAGAAGTAGAGTCAGCTAGGTGCAGGGTTATGAAACAAACAGTGCCTGGAACCTTCTGCTATCATTGACAAAGGACTTGATATCATATTTATTGCTTTAAACAAAGTTTGTAGTGCAGACTATCAATGTGCATTTTCTGTCCAAGGCACAAAGTCTGTAGCTGCTATAAATGCATATATGCACTGTCATTTATGAATAGCCCATTGAAATAATCTATTTGGTTAGTCTTAATGTGTATTTATCTACCTAGGGCTTTTGAGCATCTGAAAATATTATGCATAAATAAATGAAGAAGCTTTCTTTTCTCTTACAAATGAGATATTCCATTAGTGACTCCCCACACACACAGTGATACCCAGAAATACAATTTCCTTGTCAATTTAACTCCTGTTTATGCCCTAGGAAGATTTCAATGATGGATGGACAGTGAGATGGGAAAAGTGATTATCCTAAGCTTCCAAATACTTCTGTTTTCTAGAGCTCAAGAAAAGAGGCAGAATAGCAGCCTTCTAAGAGCAGAAAAGGAGTAAATGACTTTTCTTACACCCTGCCATCATTTAACTGTTCTCAAGAAACTTCGTTTTTTTGAAGCTGGAAAACATAAGTGTTCTGTAAGATAAAAACGTGGGGAGGAGCGGCAGCCACCTTGAAGCCTCCCTCTCATACAGTTATGTCTTTAATACTTTTTGAGTTATGTCTTCTGTTGATTTTCCTAGAAATAGTATTTTCTATGGATTCAAATATATGCAATGGAGCTATAAACATTGCTTCCACATTAAAAAGATGACACCTTGTTTGAGATATGAGACACATACTGTGTCTAAAATCTCTACCAGTCTTTTAATGAAAACTTCATATTTTATAATACAAGAAATCTCAATTAGGATTCAAATACTTTTGAAAGTTATACCTACCAGGGATTTTCATCAGATTGCATTTATTTTATCTTGATATTATATGTGTGAATTAATAAGAGGACAAATTTTATGAAACTTGGCCAGATAAATGTGATAGGTGATCATACTTAAATACTGAAATAAGCAATGTATGGTAATTATGTTGTGAACGAAAACAGATGATCTTAGAATACTGCCACATACTTGCCCTAAGAGAAGCTTAATCATTTGTAGAGAGCAGTAAAGTTTAGTAATAAAATATAAACTCCTCTGTGCCACTGAAAAACAGAAGCTGTAACTAAACAACATACATTCACCGATACCTTAATACTTTATTTGTCTTTAAAAAATAAAATAAAATTTCACAGTTTTTCTGAAACATAATTCTGACAGTGTTTGTAGTTAGTCATTTGGTTTGTAGTACAGCTCTCTTATATTTGCATACAATCAACATGATGATATTGTGGGTCACAGTATATCTTATCTATTCATAGCAACTTACACAACATTTCTCCTTGGAAGAAAGTCCATGAAGCTCTTTGTAGCTTGTGTCCTATATTGGCTATTCCAAAGAATTCTATTATAGAAAGGATGTGGTATGTCTACTTTGGTTTTCACAGTCACTTCATATAGGTTACTGTAACTTAAAGTGGTGACTGGAACTTAGAACAAAATGGGGAAAAAAAGTGATGCATAGCATAGATTTAGAAACATTAGATTTTCCAATACATGCATGAGAAAATATTTGATATTTATGTAGCTAATTAAAACTAGCCTTCTATGCCTACAATGGGTACAAAATTGCTTTGAGATTTATAAAGTACTGCACAAATTTTAGCCAGTGCTATCTATGGAGACATACATAAAAATAAGCTTATATGAGATGGTGTGCATATACAAAAACCCCTAGTACAAAGAATGTAATGTATTAAACATTCATGCCCAGTATTACAAAAGTACATTCTTAGTTAAATAATGAATTATATTTTAGCTGACTGTTGTGTGTGTTAGTCTTCTTTTGACACATGTCATACTGCACCAAAATTCCAGGGATGTTTCATTATGGTAAAAAAAAATCTGTTACTCATTTTGATTTTTATCCATCTTTTAACACTGATGGACTTAGTTATTTGAGGGGAAAAAAGATGATCCAGCAGGTTATATAAACCCTTGAGTGAATTTTCACCTTTTGTTGTATAAGTAAGAATAGTCTCTGACTTATTTTCTAATATCCTTGACCTGTCAGAGTATTGCCACACTTTTTCCCTCTCTTTAGTTCTTGAGATTATTTTTCTCCCTTGCTTGCTTTTAAGCCATGCCCAACGAGACCCCCCCCCCCCCGCCTCTCCAAACTACCATGTCTAAAATAACACCCTCTCATTCTCTGTTTATTTATTATTTTAATTGGGTTGGTTATTTTCTGTCTGTCTCCTTTATTAGAATATATTCTCCATGAGGAAGGCTCTTTGTCTGTTTGCTGCCTCTGCTGTAATCTAATCACCCAGAGTAGTGTCTGGCACCTGGCAGTCATTTAATCAATAATGATTTAATGAATGAGTGAATGAGTGAATTTCCAACCCCAATTCCTTCATGCATGATATTTATATACCCAAGGTTTGCTGGATGTCACTCAATTTCTTACAGGCACCTCAAACTCAATATTTAAAATCAATATATTTTCCTCAATCATATTAGTTTGTAGCACAATTTTTTTTCTCCATTGTTAAGCAAGAAGCATGAAAGTCACAGTATATACCCTCATCTATACCCCTGCATTCAATCCATCAAAAATTCTGTTGATTGTTTCTCTATAATAACTCTAGATTTGTCCACTTCTCCAGGTATTCCTAGATCAGAACCTCCTTTTACATCCTCTGAATTATTACAATGTGTGGGTTTTTTCTGTCCCCCCAACCCTGGCCTGACCACCGTTTTTCTTTTACTTCTGCTTCCAGCCTTCAATTTAAAGACTAATTTGGCCATGTTTCTCCTCAGGCTGAAGACCTCAGTGTCTCCCTCTCTTCTACATGATCAAGTGTGGAACCCTCACCCTGGCTTACCTGAGGCCCTGAATGATAGACCTCTTCTGACTCATTTCTAACCATTGTCTCCCAAAAATTGGAATCCAGTAAAATTTTAATATTTGTAGTTCCCTTAACACCATTCTCCTTTGTCATGACTAGCTTTTCTCTTGCCTGGACAATTTTTATTTTTATTTTAATTTTAATTATTTATTTATTTATTTATTTATTTTGGTACGTGACCCTAGTGGGAACCGATCCCGGGACTCTCTGGTCCACAGGCCGATGCTCCAACTGCTGAGCCAAACTGGCCAGGGCTTTCCTGGACAATTTTTATTCTGCCTTTAAATTTCATTTTAATGTCATCTTCTCTAGAAATTTTTTCCTGGGACTCCCAGTTCCCTTTCTCAAGGTTTCTCTTCTCAGTTTTTCTTTTTTTTCCATAACATCTTGTGCACACTTTTATCGTTATATATTTGCTACATTTGATTATTAGAATCTGTTTGTGTATCTTCCTCACTTGCTTATAACACCCTTGAGGATGTTTAGGTTATTCGAAATGTGCTAGTTTAAAACAAAAGTCAGTCATCAGCTCTCACAGTTTGGTGCTCGTTCTCAGTGGCGATTTTTCACGCAGTCTCGGTCGAATAGAGACCAGAGTCATCTCCCACCCAGACCTGGCAGGACGTCCACGTGGCTCCCTCACGTGGCTGCAGGGGCCTCCAGCGGTCAGCTGGTTGCTCAGGAAATGCTGGGGACCAGGTCACCTCCATGTCACCACTCTGTGTGGCCTGTGTTTCTCACAGAAGAGCCAGCAGGTTGTGAGGGAACAGCCCAAGAACCAGCATTCTAAAAAACCCAGACAGAGGCTGTAAGCATTCTCCACTAGCCTGGTGAAGAGGAAAACACAATAGCTCTAAAGAGTTAGTTATCCGAAACATCATGTCTGGCCCTGGCCGGTTTGGCTCAGCAGTTAGAGTGTCGGCCCACGGACTGGAGAGTCCTGGGTTCAGTTCCCACTAAGGGCACATACCTCGGTTGCAGTTTGTCCCCGCCCCGATCCGGGGCCTTGTGGGTGGCAATCACTCGATGTGTCTCTTTTATGTCAATGTTTCTCTCTCTCTCTTCCTCCCTTTTTCCCTCCCGCTCTATCTGAAGATAAATGCAAAGTAGTCCTTAGGTAAGGATAAAAAAAACAAATCATGTCTGTTTGAATTTTTTTTTTTTTCTTTTGTGTGTGTATATAAACAGTGGAAAATAATGATAGAAGTCCTGTTCAAGATAGCAGCCTGTGCATCTGTGTTAACTGTTTCTCCCTCTGAGATTCTCTTAACTACATAGAATATGAATTTTTAAGGATGTCGTATAAAGTCAGGGGAGTAGAGATATCAAAAGAAATAAAGTTTCATTAAATTGTGAGAAGTAAGAGTTAGGGAAAAGAGTGTGAATGATGGAAAACAGAGGAGAGAAAATTACAGCCTTCGAGAGAGAGAATCAGAAACAGTGCCATGTCGACTGAGGGAATTCTGCCTGTTGGAGCTCCAGCAGAGGGTGGATACAAGGGATTCGTTAAAGACCTGGGTAGAGGATGGTCTGTTTTCTATTTACACAGATCCCTGGCCCGCAGAGCAAATTACGGCCCATTGCATGAATATGTTGTCAAGTTGGCATTTACCTACAGTTGGCATTTGTATCTTTTGAAGTTTTTATTGTTACAATACTGCTGATCAATGTTTTTGCAGTTGTGCCCTGGAGCGTTTGTGCAAGTGTGAGATTCAGGA